CATCCATAGTATCACTCCATATGATGCATATGACATTATGTCATATTTGACACCAACATGTTGAATACAGCAATGTTATATCACAAATACATACACATGTGATTTATGACACTGACACATCACATGTCACATGCAACATATGATACCTACATGTCAGATATGACAACACATCACACATTAAGAATCTTCAAAAACAAGCAATCGAACTTGAAGGTCTATGTCAAATTAAAACACACAATATTAACTTATTTAAATCTTTCTCTATCAACCAATCAAAAGATAAATCTTGAACGACTAGTGCTTTTATAGAATAATCACAGGTACACACAGACTTGCTCTAGAATAAACTTGCTAGGGAAAAGTTTATCCATATAATCACACTGCTCTTCTAGAATACTGATATACTGGTAGTAAAAGAATTCAATAAAACACTAATGTGTGATCCTTAACTCAACTCTACAATCATAATTAGTAACAGCCTGACCCAAAATTGGTTCTTACAGTATTCATGTCTAACCAGGGGAGGTTATTCTTTAAGATGTACAAAACATTCAGCACAAAGTATTAAGTTACTGGCCTTTCTAAACCACCTAAAACACTTTTTTAGGGTTTTTAGTTAGTATCAAAAATGTAAAATTCACATATTTTTCTATATCAAAGCACAAACACCAAGACTATAAAGTAGATATATATATTTAAAATATTTTTGTCATTTCCGATATACAGTAACAGAAATAATCACTTTTTAGTCCATTTTTTTAAACTTACTCACAACATGAAAATCGTTTCCTATTCGGGACCAAGACACACAAGGCAGGTGAAGAAGAGTTCATCTGTTTCAATGACCTCAGCTTACAGAGTGATAGCGTCGTTAGCACCAGCAACCTACTGAGATATCTGAATTTGTCTACTGTGTCATCTAACATTGTACATTGTACTTAAATTCTATTCCTTTTTTCTATAATTCATAGCCTCCATCATTCTACCCTTCAGATTACACTCATTAATCATCACGCATTCACACTACTTGTATAGATTTACACATAACACAAAACAAAATTGCGCAACTCTTTAAAAAGTTATAACTAGAAGATTACAGCTACATCACACACTTATAGTAATCATACAAGAACAAGAATTTAAAAAAAAACCACTAATATACAGATTATTAGTATTATAAAAAATTTATAAATAAGGCTAAGAACAAAATGTACATCAAAGGATTTTGACTACTACTAAAATTTCCTGAATTATTTTGTATACATTTTTTAAAGCATCAAAATCCAAAAAATATTAATGCAGAAATTTTAATATAAATATACTATAAAATTTTATTTAAGTGCGTTTCTGTTCAAAGTTCGATACAGAAATATTTTTAAAAAAAACACCTATGTTGTTAATAGATAGAGCTATTAATACATTTTGTGAATGTTTTAGTGTTACAATAAAAATCACACTGGAAATGTTAGTGAATTAAGACATGGGGAGTTTTTTTCACACTTTTCTAATGACAATTATTTCCATCAAATAATTGTGAATGTTCACAATGGTATACACAAAATAAAAGAATGTATGAGAAAAGTGAATAGTTATAAAATATATGAGAATTCAAATTTCCAAAAGTTTAAAAAATGTACAATTGCTTTACATCTAGATAGACACTTAGAAACTTTGATGACTATAAAGGTTCATTTCCGATGAAAGATTTTAAACTTGAATATTTTGTAAAAATTATTTAGTATCTAAGCAAAGAGGCAAGACTTCTACACCAGCGGCTATAAACTGACAGTATTGACAAGCAGATGAAATGTTGTATCAAATTTTAGCACAAGACACCAGAAAATAGTGCTTGAAATAGATGAAGAGAAATGGTTTCGAATAATGAAAACATTAACCAGAGAAACAAACTAATTATCACATTTAGTTTTTGAAAAATGCTCTAATGATTTAAAATGTAAATGTAGTTCATATTGATACTTTTTTTGTGTGTTGCTTTTATGAATAGTGGCAAGGCACATACATTGATATTTACTAATGTTGCTAATGAATCTAAGTGGGAAATCTAGGCAAGATAGGTCAGTTGTGGACACACAAGCCTTGCAGGACACAGATAGAATTTTGCAGGTAAAAGGTACACACTACACAGCCACAGGGATAAAGACTGGGCACTAGGTAACTAAAGGAATGCATCACATCAGGGTGAGAAGTGTTAACTAATTAACAAACAGGTAACAACTGAAATTAAGATCTAGGTTTGATTATAACTATTGTCTTCAAAAGTCAAAATCATTCATTCATTACTACACACTATGGGCTTATGTCTAAAATCCTTGATATGCTATGATCTTTTAATATATATATATATATATATATATATATATATATATATATATATATATATATATAATTTCCAATTTAACTAATGACATGAAATAGGACATTTCTGTGCTTGAAACAGTGAGCTTAGCCATAATTAAAAGTAGTTTCAGGTTTTCCCAGGTGGAATTAAGAATTTAGGGGTGTACTACTGTAGTAAAAATCCAAAACCTAAGTTTTAATTTTTTAACTTATGTAATTTTCTGCAGTAAATTTTTATCCAAATACATTTAAAATACACAATGCTACATCTGTGAATTTACTATGGGTTAAATGCAAGCTGACAAAACAAAAAAAAGTAAAACTAATTTTGATTTCTATCTGAACAATTTTCCTTTACATTTTCTACATATGATGACAATCAACCTTTGCATAGTTTGAAAAAGAAAATATGACACCAACCTAACCAAAATTTAGTCAAATCCAAATGCCTCTCATTTTCTTTTTATATGGAATCTGTGACCTGCTTTTCTTCAACAAACAAGATGTTCATTCTAAACTAGTTTGAAATTCTACATAATAGTTGTTTTTTCCTAATTAAACAATTGTAGTTAAAACTTTCACTTTCAGTGTATTGTAAATGATTTTAATATAAAAATATTTAATAAAATGTTTTTTTTACTTAAGTTTTAAACTACTGTCTTGAACAAGCAAGCTAACAGTTTTAAATTAAAGAAAAGCAAACCCATTAAACCATACTGATCCAACATTTTTACAATGTCTTAACAATAAAGACATTTTCTTTTTTTTTGTCTGAAAAATGTATTAAGAACCTTCATAACAGCACAACCGGGGAATACTACACTTCTTCCTAAGACAAGCATTTAAACTGTGCTTTTTAATCTATAAAAAAGGTATAGTTGTTCATTTCTATTCAATTGAAGTAATACATAATTTATTAAACAATTAGAGCTCCATTATTATTTATAGTTGTCTAATTAGATCCTTTTTAAAATTTAGTAAGGGAAAGCAAGCAATTTTTAGTTTTGTTTCCAAATATAAATTCATTAAATCTGGTACAAAAAATGTTAAATATTTTTTAAAAACAGATCTGTATTTTTAAAAAATGAAAAACTGTTTAAAAAACAATGTTATTTCATTTTTACAATAACTGAAATTAAAAAAAAATTACTTGAAAACTACAGCACTGGATTTCACATTTGGCACATCATTATCTATTTGGTAAAATTTAAACTTTCCTACCGTTTCATTAGAAACATAGCTGGCTTTATAAAGAGGTATGGGCCATTAAAGCAATTAGTTTTAACAACATAAAATTTAAATATTCTATTCATTCAGTAAAAGGATATCAGAGAAGAATTTACTAAAAAAAATGTACACTTAGAAAAAACGTTGAAAAAAGTGTCATTTACATTTGACTAAGAAGAAAAAACAAACAAAGTAGAATTTATTACAAAATGTGACATTTAGAAAAATTTTGTAAATTGTTTTTTATTGTAATATTGTAAAAACAATTATTTACATAAGACAGAAACTAAAAGAAAAGAATATCAAAGTAGAGTTTACTACAAAATTTTATATCTTTAAAAATATAGTTTGAAAACAACCAGTTGTATCTAACAAAAAAAAAAATAAACAGTAACTATAGTAGAATGTATTCCTTATGTTTTCACGATAAGAAAAATGTTGTTTAAAAACAACCCTTTACATCAGACAAAAACTAAAAAGAAATAGACACAGCATTGTAGACTAAATTTCCAGCTCTTCTCAATCTACGCAAATATTTTATAATAAACTTTAAATTATATAAAAGTGACTTTAAACTGATTTTTTAAAAATTAAGAGCATATATTTTACAATACTAAATAAAGTAGTCAAGAAAATGTACACATATAATTCTTTTGAATAAAGTATGCTTTCACATCAAGATATGAAATAAAAAATCTATTGGTTTTTTTTTTTACTTATATTGCAAACTGTTAATTATTTTACTTTCATGTATAAAACTACCCAAATTAATAAAGTGACAGACACATGCTCATCATTTTTTAATCAAGCTGCTAAAAATATACACAACATTAACTTCAATTTTAGAATTAGTAAAAAAAAATAATTATACATTGTAAATTAAACTAAATATTCCCCGAAATTTAAAGTTAAAAAAAATGTACCTATATAACATGTACAACCAAAAAATGTGCGTCCAATTATCATTGCCTGTATATAAATGCCTTGACCTAGATGAGCTGAAAACCTTTCATAAATCACATACTGAAAATAAAAATTATTTTGTTTTTAAATAGATTTCACTATACTAGCTTGCATTTTAAAATTGTATTAGTTAAGTAATCAAAGTATTTATCATACCAGTTATAGCATTAAAAAAGAAACCCAAATTTTCTGTTATTTATTTATTCCAGCTAATGTTCTAAAAATGAAAGACTTCCTGAGAAATAATGTATAATAGACAATATATATTTACAACTCAATATATATATATATATATATATATATATATATATATATATATATATATATATATATATATATATATATATATATATATATATATATATATATATTAAGAAAGTCTCAATTTTTGGGAACCAAACTGAACGAATCCTTTAATTGGATGATGCTAATCAAAGAGTTAAGTTACTCACTTAGGACTGTTTCTCCGACTTGTCTCTTCTATTCTTTTGTATTTTGGTACAGATGAAGATGAGTAGCGCCAGGACCACAATCTCAGCCACAATGCCAATCAGAGGCCAGACCCACGCAATGGGATCTGTGGAGGGATACACATTTTATTGTTGATGTATTGGGGTAAATACATACAGGCAAGTTGATGAATAGACAAAACAAAGCTGTTTTGTATTTATGTTCACATTGGGGGTTTTTGTATGAAGTGCAACATTTAAAAAATGGAATCCTAACATTTTGACTTTCTCGTATATACAAAGTATAGAGAAAGTATTGTAATCGTGCACAAAAATCACTTGAAATTTTAACAATTTTCACCGTATTACACCTCAGTCCTTCATCACATCCAAAGTATAGAGGACTTATTTTAATCGGGCAAAAATTATCAATCTAGATTTATGAAAATTAAGAGGTTTTATGCGTAATCCAGTCTGAAAAACTGGGCTTTACAATTCTGTCCGTATGTCTGTGTGTCTGTCTGTCTGTCCGTGTGTAACCACGATTACTTGAGTACCGTTACAGCTAGGTTGATGAAATTTCATATATAAGTATTTTATCAAAATCGTAGATCCGTATCAACTTTTGAGCGATTTCCGATAACCGGAAGTGGTACTTTTTCTACTTTGAATTTTTCAAAAGCCTATAACTTGAGTACTATTTCAGATAGATGAATGAAATTTCACATGTAAGTAAAAGATCTAATTCTCTACCTTCTGTTAAATTTTGAGTAATTTCCGTTGACCGGAAGTAGTAATTTACGCTACTTCCGATTTCTCAAAAAACTAATGTAAATTTTTAAAGTACTAATAATATTGCGCACTATTATGCACTTTTTTACTTGGCGTTCACTTGGTGTGCAATTCTTTTGTCTACGAGATTTTATTCTATTTTTAAAACTTTATTGAAAATGGATTAAAAATCATGTCTATAGCCCGAGTTCCCATCCCCTGTTGTTTTATATAAGAATATTCGAGAAAGTTTAGGGGAGATCACTCCCGGTTTATTTTAATGTTAGGTTTATACTCATCATTTCTAGTTCGTGCCCCAAGACAAATGGGTAATATGAAGTAGAGTTCACCTATTTAAATGACCTATTGGGGGGGGGGGGGGTGTCAGGAGTTAGGTACCTATCAACACTGGCTCAAGTCAAGGAAGTTCTACAGACTCAAGCCAACTGCTAGCTATTAATGACATCATTTAAACCTTACCTAAGGAACATAATTAAATTTTTGAAGTGCCACTTACTGTTGATACTAAGCCCAGAATAAATTGAAAACTTTCACTATTTACATTATTTGATTAAGCCAAGAATAAATCGAAAAGTGAGACTAACTATTGACATTAAGCCCAGAATAATTTTGAAAAGAGCGACTTACTGTTGATACTAAACCCAGAATGAACTGTAAAGTGTCACTATTTATATAAAGCCCACAATCAATAGAAAACTTTGACTAAATGTAGATACTAAGCGTCACTATTTATATATGCTAAAAATCAATAGAAAACTGTGACTAAGTGTTGATACTAACCAGAATAAATTTGAAAAGTGTCACTATTTATATAAAGCCCACAATCAATAGAAAACTGTGACCAAGTGTAGATACTAAGCCTAGAATAAATTCTAAAAGAGTGACTTATTGTAGATTTACGTGAAACGAACACATTCACATATCTGGGAAGCATGATCAACAAGGACGGGGAAGCAGACGAGGACATAAAATGTCGTATCAACAAGGCTAGATGGGCCTTCAACTCTGGAGCAAAATTGGGCTTTTCAACTCAAATGTCAAGGCAGTGCTACTCTATGGCTCGGACACTTGGAGAGTTACGAAGACAAATACTGATAAACTACAGGCATTCGTAAACAAATGCTTACGACATATACTTAAAATAAGATGGCCAGACAAAATATCAAACAAAGACCTGTGGCGAACTTTAAAGCAACAGCAAATAGAGGCAGATATCAAGGCCCGTAAATGGGGATGGATCGGACACATATTAAGAAAAGAAAAAGAAAACATCGCAAAGCACGCTTTGGACTGGAATCCCCAGGGAAAAAGGAGGGTGGGCCGGCCAAGGAAGACATGGAGAAGAACGGTTGAGGAGGAAGCGAAAACAGCTGGGCTCACATGGGCACATATAAAGGGGGCAGCCCAAAACCGAGTCCGTTGGAGATGTGTGGTTGCAGCCCTTTGCTCCCCAGACGCCACAAAGGAATGATGATGATGATGACTTATTGTAGATACTAAGCCCAGAATAACTTCTAAAAGAGCAACTTACTCTTGACCCTGATCTCCAGAGACTTGGATGATGATTCCATAAATTCAGTGGAGTTTGCTATACAGGTGTATGTGCCTTCATCTACAAATAAATACGAGAGTTTATTAAATCACACTTCATATGAGAAGTAAAGATGCTTACACTTATTTTTTTAATAACACAAATATTTATAAATAAAATATTACAGTTCCGTGCAGGTATTTGCTTTTTCACATTGTAAAACACACACAAATAAAGTGTTTTAAATTATTTTTTTAAAGATATTAAATAACACACAATGGCACATTAAAAAGAGAAAAAAACAACTCTTAAATAATTTAGTCTGAGAAATAGCTTGTAAAGCTGAAAAAAAATCATGTCAAGAAAAAATTACCAAGCCTAGGTGGTGGTGTTTAAAACCTTCTAATAATTAATTAATGACTAAACTAGGGTTACAAAAGGGAAGCAACTGATGATCACTGATCTGTGGGTCAGCTCAAAACAAAGGGAGAGTATGGTCTACATAACAAAACAAATCATGTGACCCTTTAATAAAACAATCCATACACCTATCTTTGCTGTTTAAAAAGAACCAGGCATCAATAACCAGACTGATCTAACAGGCACATTGAATCTGTATAGTTTTTATTTTAAATAAAGCTTGTGATTGGTAAACTATAATTTTGTCTAGGACCAATTTTACAAGCTTTTATATTGGCATTTGGAGGGATAATGTAGCCAGCATTAGGAGTCATCCATAAATGATGTCACGCTTTTTTTGACAATTTTTACCTCCCCCCTCCCCTTCGTCACATGTCATCACAAAAAGCCAGACCACCCCCTAAAATGACATCACACCTCAACCTACAACCCCCCTCAAAATTGCAGTTGAATTTTTTTAAAACATCGATATTTTTCCAAAATCTGGTCTAAACTATTACAATTTATTAAAACAGTTATCTAAAATGCAAAATAACGTCTAAAATTCGTTTTCTAACATTGCTTTTTTATAATGCAAAAATGTGACGTCGCAACATTTCAACCCCCCCCCCCCTCCCCCTCATCACAAAATTACGGACCCACCCTCCCCCCTACGAGTGTGACATCATTTATGGATGACCCCTTACACCCAGATGCCTATATTTTCCTTGACTGAAGTCAGGCACCAACCAGAGATTAGTGAAAACTATAACATTCTAGGAACATGAGTCTGTAATCAGGACCCAAAACCATCCCAATGCTTCTAATACTTAGATTTAATATGCTGTAAAAAAATTAATAAAAAAATAAACTTTTCCCCTGTCATCTTTATGAAAGAGTATAATATTCAGTACTGTTATCTTACTTAACACCCACAGAGATGGGGTGTAGTTCTTATACACAAAACAAATGGTCAATATTCAATTTTTTATGTGTTAGAGTTAATGTTTTTAAAATAAAAGTTATTACTATTACTAGATGGTTTTCTAGTTACATCTAAAAGAATATGCCATGATGTACAAAGCATGATAAACATGAATAAAATAATTTGTTGCAGATGATTAAAAATCAACAAAGTATTTTGTCATAATCAACAAGTTTATCTACCAACAGCTCAAAAATATAGTGAATCTATGCAAGCAGCAATCAAACTATATGAGTTGCAGGGGAGGTAAATATGCATGAGCTCTCACTCCAAAACAAGGGAGTGAAGAAATCTGTAGGTACCTACATACCATTATCATGCATGGAACATTACACAGTTAAGAAACATCTGACACTGGAATAGTTAACAAACTGCTGTCTTCTACTTCAGGTAGATTTGGAAAGATTTGAACTCAGTTTAGATAACAAAACAAAAATGAACTTAAATATACTTTCTAAACAATTAAAAAAAAAAGAAGTGAATATGTTTATCAATAATCAACAGACTTCTGAAACTGAAATAGTAAAATGTTTCAAGCTTAACAAAAGCAAATGCAAACAGGAGGGAATAAACAGTGTGTGGCACTACAATCTATACTGAGGTAATTCAATGCATTTGTCAAAAATAAACACGTACTTTTTTGCAAAAAATGTCAAGATATACTGTACTTACTACTATACTATTTTAACCAGGAGATGATTGCATTAGGTGGTTGTCAAAGTTTTCAATGCACAGTTTTAGAAAACAATTTCTTGTAACATAGTGAGAACCACACAGTGACCAGGCCAAAAATGGGAAACTTTTAGCAAATCATTTTAGCCCATGATTCCATTTTAAGTATCAACATGATAGACTCAGTAGAGAAGTGAAATTGTCAGCAACTTTTAAAGGTATAGGTTTAGATTATCCTAATATCTTAAGGATCTAGGTTTGGAGTAACTTCATATAAGTATGTAGGTTTGGATTGTAATATCATAAAGATGTAGGTATGAAATCTTAATAAAGGATATAGGTTTGGACTATCCTAATATTTTAAGGATGTAGGTTTGGACTATCCTATTACCATAAGAATGTAGTTATGGACTATCCAAATATCTTATGGATGTAACAATAGAGGAATATCAGGATGTAGGTATGGAGTGTCCTAAAATTGCTTTCTTAATATCGTGAACAAACTAGTGAATGTATTACTGAGTAAAATAAAACAAATATTTGTTAAAATAAACCTACAGCTGTCTGACTTGTTTTAGAATTAAGCCTTTGTGTCATAACATAGAGGAGTATTTGAACAAGTTTCAACTAATAACTCCAAACCCCACAAAATGGCTAATATGACTGAAATGAGCCTAATTCATGTGTTCTTCCTAGTTTAAAGACCAACTACTGCAGAGAGTAAATAGAAGCTAGTTAAACAAAATGCAAGGGTCATAAAATCAAGCTGATGCACACACACAAAAATGTAATCAGTATAAAACACAACAGGGATAATAGAAAAATCCACTTTAGTATTTTGATTTGGAGGCTGAGAGAAGTATACCAACATAATACTTATGTAAGGCAGTAGTTTAATACATTAAGATTGTTTTCCAAAAAGATGGGTTAAACAAAAGGGTTTGAGCTGTCATTAAACTTTCCTTGTGAAGTTTTTTTCTCTCTAAAAAATAATACCTTGTCAATAACTTGCGTTAATTTGAAACACAAAAATGCTTACAGTATAACATACATTGAACTTTCCTTGTGAAGTTTTTTCGCTCTCAAAAATAATACCTTGTCGACAACTTGCGTTAAATTGAAACACAAAAATGCTTACAGTATTACATACACTTCATTGGTTTATAATCTTCATACATATAAACATGCAAGCTGGGCTTTACTAAATACGAGATCGGAAAATCTTTCCCTTCTGTTCTCAACACATTTTCAAGGTGCTAGTAACACAAAGACTTCATCAAATACATTTCAGGCTTGGCTTTACTATCATCTAAAAATGAACTTTTTCTTCTAAATGATATGGTGATAACTAACACAAGAAACATTTCAGACATATGCTCTAGAATATACTAAACAGGAACTACTTTTTTTTTTTTACAGAATGTGATGGCTAATACAAATACTTCAAACATTTCAAACCTATGAGGTGGGTATGCAATACAGATAGATCACATGACCCAGTGCTAACAGACATGTTACCAGGTGGGGGCTGGTCCAACGTCCACTGAATACATCAGAAAAAAGTTTGATGGGGTTTTTTTAATCCAATTTTTTCCAGCTTTTAATTTGGGTTATCAGTCAATAAATATTCCCCTTCCCGGTTTTCTAACTTAATTTTTCAACAGTCAAACAGGTCCATTTATGTTAACAGAAAGATAATCTAAGTAGGGCTGGTAAGTAGGTCACCAACCAGTTCTACTGCTCAATAAAACCTGCATGAGCCATAGAACTGGTTGGTGACCTACTTACTAGCCCTATTGTCATACCTTAAGTTTTTTTAAACATTTAATGTTTTAAAAAATTACGACCAACCCTCCCCTAAGATCATATAAAAAATATTCTCAATCAACCCTCTATTGTAAGATAAGCCTTGCTAAAAGTCCACAACTACAGGCATCATATAGGTTGGGCTGGGGTGTAATTCTATCAGGATGTATTGGTTTCTACTTAAGTATTTGCCAAAACAATAGGTTTAATTTAATTGGTATACTAGTAATAAACATCATGAAATGTAACACTCAAACATGTTTGAGAGGTTTTATTTTACACCATTGGCTCATTTATAATCATAGTCTTGGAGTGATGTGTGTGTTCACTGTAAGGATATAAACTATTCAGGAATCAGACATAAAGTCTCTGTGCTATATCCATGTTATTGTTGACCCTGTCTAGAATGGGCTTAAAAAATAAAGTATTGCTATAAAGAGGTTTTCTTTTTTACAAGATAAAACTGTTAGATTCAAAATAAAATAAAAAACAAATAGTGTTGCAAAACAGAAATGTAGTATAACATTCCAAAGAAAGTTATTGTTATTATTGCACTGGTTCCATTGTTAGATTTAATGTAATAGCTTTGCTAGATATATTGTGACATTTAATAGCAAGATGTGTTTTCACTGTCAAGCTAAGTCCAAAATTATGTCAATGGTTGCCTTTTTTTGTCTAGTATTTAACCACATTGTTGTGTGTTGATAAAGACCTAGGGTCAAAACATCCATTGTACCTGTAATTGTTTTAAATTCGTGAGGTAGCTAACACTACCAGTTTTATTACTATTTGCATGAGCCTCACTGAGGCTACTAGAAAAAAACTAAATGTGCACAAAATTTTATGTAAGTACACACATTCACTCTAAAATTTGTATTGACTATAAGTTGCAATGGAAAAGTTATAAGTAAAACTAATACACAATTTTAATAATTGACAAAAATTATAGCAAAATGACTTGTATGAAACACACTATTAATATAATTATTGTGGTGTTATCCAAATCAATGGTAATAATAAATGTATTGAAAAGTAAGTAACACACCTTCATATTCCAAGGAAGTGATGATTATAGTGGCATCAGGGAAGTCGTTGTGGGCCTCAAACTGAATGCGGTCATTTCCCACCAGGTCAATTTTGTTTCTCTGCCAGATGACAGGGACGGGTGGGTAACCTTTGACCTCACAGTGAACTTGTAGCCTGTCCCCAAGCTCCAGGTTGATTGACCTCACCAGGTTTAGAACCAAGGGGCTGGCTAAAAAAATAATACAACACAAAAATACTTGAATATAAATCAACTTTTTGGGGATTTTTATCTTTACTTGTCTATTATAGAACTGAAGGATTAAAGATAACAAGCCGACCCGCGGTGTATCATATGAAGCTATTTAGTTGTTTTATTTTCTACTTTTCAGTAATTCATAATTTGTGAATTCGACAGTACCAATGGTGCCACTGAAAATATTCGCTATAAAACACTAAACCCCCCCCCCCCCCCCGTGAAAGCAGCCTCCTCTTAGTTACCTCCCCTAAGTTTTAAATCGTTTCAAACTAAATTATCTGCCCCTAACAACCATCACTAAACCTGATTCTACAATTTCAAACATTTAGCGTGAACCACAGCTCACCAGACCATGTAGGGGTGGGAGTGGTAGGGGTATGCCTAGAGAGGAAGAGAAGGGACTGCAAGGCGCGCTTACAGCTTGGTGTTTTCTATGGTCTCCAAGAAGAGAATTATATATATAAATTTGTCAATATATAAGAGCCTACACAGAGGTCTGTGTTTGTCTGGCTGGTCAAGCTCATGGCTACTGAACTGAAAAGTCCCAAATTTGAACCAGAGAGCAAATAAAGTTTGATAGATGGGGCAGCAACCCAGCTAGGAGAGAAAACTACAAAATCAAATAATTGCTGCCTTAAAATTTGTTCTTGATTGGACAAAGGCTATGGAAGCAAATTCATAAATGAAAAGCAGGGTGAAATTTGAGTCAAAGTGCAAGATGGTGAGTTACATGTTATCCATAATTGTGTTGGAGGATTACATGTTATCCATAATTGTGTTGGAGGATTACATGTTATCCATAATTGTGTTGGAGGATTACATGTTATCCATAATTGTGTTGGAGGATTACATGTTATCCATAATTGTGTTGGAGGATTACATGTTATCCATAATTGTGTTGGAGGATTACATGTTATCCATAATTGTGTTGGAGGATTACATGTTATCCATAATTGTGTTAGAGGATTACATGTTATCCATAATTGTGTTGGAGGAAATCCTGTCCAACATTACAATTCAGAACAAAAATGAAGAAAGAACAGCCTAAGTGATAAACTAAATACTTCAGTCTATATCCTGCTCTCTTACCTGTGTATTCCACAAGACAATCATAATCCTGCTTGCCACTAGGTAGGCTAAGTTCAAAACGTGCTATGTACTGTCCTGCATCCTTTCGAGCTGCAACAGATAAAATTTGGTTTGTTTCTTAAAACAAATGGTTCATCTATTTGTTGTTGCAACATAAAACAGCAACAACATATGAAACAAATATTAAAGAATTGGTTAAGTGGAAAAAAAAAAAACTTGAAAAAAATGTGAAGCACTTAAGGGATAGGAGAGAGAGTGTTTAAATGTTTGGAGATATAACCGCCCACCAAAGAAAAAAAGCAGTTCTAGTTTGTTTTTTTAGCCATTTCAAATAATTGTAAGTTTCAAAATTATTAAAGCTAGGCCAAGATAGATCCTCTAAACGGAAAAAGTGGATTTCTGGAAAAAGGGTATTTTTCATAAATGAAAAATACTTATATTACAATTGGTAGTAACCATGTTGTTAAGTTAGCCATAAAAAAAAAAAAATCACATTAAAAAATTCCTAAAAAAAAAAATAACTTAACTAAAGCTAGAAATGTTATTTTTAGAAAACATGTGGCAAAAACTATATGACATAGGTATGTAAAGAATTAGACACAGATCCATATCTGCGCAGATGCTGCTTTCTCACTGGGTACACAATCAACAACTTTTGAGCTGGGTGTCAATAGGGCAGACGTAGAGCTCACCTGGTACTGAGAGGAAACAATTTGATCTGTTCTATGCCCAGGAGCTGTTACTTTTTGTGACACAAGTCACCTATCAAGGCTGGGTGGACTTGGAGACAGATCTACTCAAGACTTTCCAACATGCAGTCATGCATAAGATGGACTTGTGTGTGGTAATGATATGCTTAACTTTGTCCACACACCAATACAAATTTCACACATTTCCTCTGTATTTTAAGTTAATTTATGAACCTCACCAGTTGTGAGAAAGGGAAAAAAGTGAGTTAACTTACTCAGCTTTTCTATGATCAGACTTACTAGAAAGAAACAAAGGGGAATTAACTCACTTGGCTTTTCTATAATGAGAGTTGAGTTTCCCTTCTCCAGCTTGTAGCGTTTGTCTTCACTCTCATACAAAGACTTATTATGGAAGATCCAATCCTTAAAGACAACATTCACCCTGGATGGGTTCTCAATTTCAATGGCGCAAGCTAGCGTTGTTGTTTTGTTCCCATAGAAAAAGCGATCCTCAGTTTTCATTTCTAGACAGCAAAAAAAAAGAAATAAATAAATATGATTTAAAACTCACTGCCGGAATGTAAGGCCTAAAATAGCCGAGTAAGAAGAGTGAAGATTGACATGCATCTAAGTGCTAAGTCTGGGAGTCTTGTTCTGGTGGCCCGGCCAACAACCATTTTGGCCTCATACATATGGTTCACAAACAGATGAACATCGAAACACAAAACCAAAAGGTGAAGAGAACATACAAGTCATACCTTTAACAGCAAACAGGTCAATATTCTGTTTTACTGATCCAGCATTGCAAGTGTAAGTTCCAGAATCAGATACTTCAAAACTGTTAGTCTTTAATATGGTCATCAAGGTGTACTGGTCTCCCACGTGTTCAGTCTCTGTAAATCTGAAAAATTAAAAAGTATACAAATGAAAACATGTAAGTAGGTAAAATTAAAAAGTATACAAATAAAAACATGTAAGTAGGAAAAAAGTATACAAATAAAAAACTTTACAGGGAACAAAATGGTCAGCATATAACTGCTGAGTTTAGACCCGGAGAGCTTCAATAGTTGGGGACAGCAACCCTTCTAGGAGAGAAAACAACATAACCAAACTGCTGATAACAATCTTATGTGGACTAAAGCTATGTAAGCAAAAAGCAGACTGAAACTGGAGTCAACAACCTATATACTGTTTAACATGTTGTCAGGTAATACTTCATTGTGTTGGAGCAAATCTCCTTCATTATGATTAAAAACAAAGAAGAAGAAAGAATTTTTAAGAACAATAATAGTTGAAGAATTTGACAATAAATGTACAGCATGTATTTTGTTTCTAATAATAAATAAGGTAAGCTTTGATGAGGAGTGTATGGAGAGACTATCCACTACTAAATCAAGTGTGAATCTATAAACACCTGAGAATAATTCTACTTTAGCCATAGCATTCCAATGACCAGCCACCACCAACTTAGGCCATGTACAGATTAAAACTGTTTAACACAAATGTATAAAGATTGAACAGTATCCCCAGATATACTCAATAGTAGACTACATGAACATTATATACTAACCACAGATGGAGTAACTTTGTCTATAAACTCTCCAAAAACAGAAGACATCAAACGTACAATGCCTAAGCTACCCTCCATATACATGGAGTGAACTCCATCTGATGTGTGAGGCCTTGTAGTACAAGGCACTTTTTTAGTTCAATTATAATCTCCTAAATTTATGCCAGGTACCCATTTATGCTGAGTTGTCTAGTGTGCTTTTAAAATTATCAGGATCTATTAACTAATAACACATGTGCTACCATCAAATATCAATGAATTACGCTATATACCCTGAAAAACATACTCAATTCAAGTTGAAATTTTTTTTAAAAATAATTAAAACTAGCAGGAACACAAAATATTTACATTTGGAAAGAAGTACTCCTGCGAGACCAATAGGGTCTGGCTGATGGGTCAGTAGAAGTATCAGAGCAGGTCAGAGTTTGTTTACTTCCTACAGCCACTGCCAACTCATTCAATGCAGGCTCTATCACCAGCTCACTGGCTGCAAGAGACAAAGTTACAGCAATGTTACATCAACACAAACTATACAGGTTCTATCACCAGCTGCAAGAGACAAAGTTACAGCAATGTTAGATCAACACAAACTATACAGGCTCTATCACCAGCTCACTGGCTACAAGAGACAAAGTTACACCAATGTTAGATCAACACAAACAATACAGATTATATCACCAGCTCAATGGCTGCAAAAACTACAGCAATGTTACATCATAACACACACTGTGTAGGTTCTATCATCACTAGCTCAGAGGCTACAAAAGACAAAGTTAAACAAATTTCTACAATCTAAAACTGTAACTTGTTATTTACATTTTGTTTAACTGGCAGATTCTTACCCTCCATTCCCAAACATTTCATAATGTAACACTTTTTGTAGCTATGCTAATCAGTCTATTACAAATGTTCGATATCAAAATGCATGTAAATTTAAAGTTTTCATTTTTAGATTTCTAAATACAATACTATAAAAAAAACCAAACAGTTTATAACCATTTTAAATCCTTTCTAAAAGAGGGTCATCCTATAAAAATGGTGTGGAATTATCTCATGTGTAGAACTGGTGGAGGTAGCCCTGTTTATTATTAGGTTTGAAAGTATTTTTATCAGATTTTTAATTTTATGGAAACATGGAATAACAATATAAAGGTTTACTTTGTAGTTGATAATTGCTAGTAAAGTGATTTTTTGTGCATGAAATAACCTGCTCGTTCAATAGAAAAATGATGTTAATTCCATTTAATTTAAAAATAAAAATAATTTACTTTCGGATTTAATCCCAAATGACTGAGTCTATTATTAAACAGAAAGCATTAATCACATGAGACTTTCCATTATTCCAGCTGATCAGCCCATAACAGCAGCTGGTAACATGTGTTACAGGCCCTGACTGGTGGATGGTGGCATGTGTTGCCCTACACCACTGTCTTATCTGTGCTTCATTTGTTATCCTAACAGGCAATCTGTCTTCCCCCGTACTAACTCAGTATTTTTGAACCATGCTTGACTAAAAATTAGAATTACAAGTATAGTTGTAATTTTTGATCCGGGCAGTTGAAATAGAATTCACATGTTTCTGTGACCCTCAACATTATGCTCACCTGCCCTTACCTTCCATAAGGTAAGTTAAGTACCCATCAGAGCTAGGTGAACTCAGGGGTGTCCTATGGCGATACACACTTAAAAACTAGAGACTATAGCAGGAGTAAAGCCCTTAAAACTAGAGACTATAACAGGAGTCTTGCCCTTAAAATCTATAACAGTCAAACTCTTAAAATTATATATGTATATATAGATTGTTTTTTCTCTATTTTCTACCACAACTTTGTAAGTAACAAGTTTTAACCAAAAAAATTAGATTTACAAATTAAAATATAGATATATTATGTGTTAATCATAGAAAAATATAAAGTACCAAAAACCATTACTTTAAACCTTTAACAAAGAGTAATAATATGACAAAAAACTTAACTAATCTAAAAATAAGTAACCTCATACTGTATGTTTACTTAGCTACCACTAAAGCCTGTTTAAACAATACAACAAAAAAACACGATTTAAGTGTTACTATGTAAACATTTAATGTAGAGTTGACAGTTGCTAAAGAGTCAGACAACACCTATTTAGCTACTTGACCTAATTTAACCAAACTATTTATAGCACACACACAATGCTGATTACCCTTTCCCAATACTGCAATAAACACGGAAATAGAATCATAAAAGGTTAAGTGTTTTCAAAAATAGAGTTTAATAGTAGGCCTATCAGTAAATATCTTAGAGCCAGAGCTAATTTTAGTTTTAACAATAGGACCACCCCATAAACTATACTATCCCGAAAATATATTCTATTTCAAACATCAAAAAGCAAAAATAATCTTAGCTTTTTTGCAAAGAGATGTTCTGACCAACCCACCCCACCACCTTTATCCAGGAGGAAAGTAGAATGTAATATTCATCCAATCATGAACTTTTATTTATATTGTCAGCAAGAGAAAGGGCTGAACTGAATTCTTTATAGTTTATACTTTTTCATGTTTCAACTTTTTAAAGATACAGTAACACATCTTTTAACTATCAGCTAAATCTTTCAACATGGATGGTGGAATGGTAGTGTTTGGCTACTAATCTTGGTCCAGACTGGATCTTTCAACATGGATGGTGTAGTCGAATGGTAGTGTTTGGCTACTAATCTTGGTGCAGACTGGATCTTTCAACATGGATGGTGTAGTGGAATGGTAGTGTTTGGCTACTAATCTTGGTCAAGACTGGATCTTTCAACATGGATGGTGTAGTGCAATGGTAGTGTTTGGCTACTAATCTTGGTGAGACTCTGGATCTTTCAACATAGATGGTGTAGTGGAATGGTAGTGTTTGGCTACAATCTTGGTCAAGACTGGATCTTTCAACATAGATGGTGTAGTGGAATGGTAGTGTTTGGCTACAATCTTGGTCAAGACTGGATCATTCAACATAGATGGTGTAGTCGAATGGTAGTGTTTGGCTACTAATCTTGGTCAAGACTGGATCTTTCAACATAGATGGTGTAGTCAAATGGTAGTGTTTGGCTACAATCTTGGTCCAGACTCTAAATCTTTCAACATGGATGGTGTAGTGGAATGGTAGTGTTTGGCTACTAATCTTGGTCAAGACTGGATCTTTCAACATGGATAGTGTAGTGCAATGGTAGTGTTTGGCTACTAATCTTGGTGAGACTCTGGATCTTTCAACATAGATGGTGTAGTGGAATGGTAGTGTTTGGCTACAATCTTGGTCAAGACTGGATCTTTCAACATAGATGGTGTAGTCGAATGGTAGTGTTTGGCTACTAACCTTGGTCTAGACTCTGGACTGTAAGACATACCTTGAGTCCATCCAGCTTTGATGGGTACCCGACTCAAATTGGGGAAAGTAAAGGAGGCTGGGCTGACCACACTATCCCTTCATATGCCAAGGTCAAGAAAAATTAATTCTATTTCATCTGCCCCATAGATCTTTAGATCTGGAAAAGGAACTTTACTGGTTCCACATCACAAGTCATTTTCTTGAAACATTTCCTTAAATGTTGACCATACACCTCTTACTCAGAACCTTTTATCAAAATATGATCTACTAATAGACACAGCTATTAAAAGATGCCTATAAATTCTTTTATCTGCATACTAAAATAACACAAGTCACTTAACAGCAATAAATCTTATCTTGTATTCACAGTAAACAGCAGTTGGGTCAAAAGTAGGTCTTAGCACATACCACTCCTTATACAAATTGTTGTGTTGAAACAGTAAAATAGGGTTCTTCTTTGACTGACAGTAAAACAGCAGTTGGGTCAAGAGTAGATCTTAGCACATACCAGTCCTTATACAAATTGTTGTGTTGAAACAGTAAAATAGGGTTCTTCTTTGACTGACAGTAAAACAGCAGTTGGGTCAAGAGTAGATCTTAGCATGTACCAGTCCTTATACAAATTGTTGTGTTTAAACAGTAAAATAGTGCGCCAAATTGCACACCTGATTCCATGTAGTATAGAAGCCTATTGTATCAATGTAGATGCCAAAGTGCTTATGGGGGAGCCTGAGGTGCAAAATCGCACCTTGTCTTGGTGCTGCTCCGAACAAATTTTTAAAATATTTCTGTAGAAACCTCCCTGGTGTATTCTCAACAGCTTCCCCTGATAGCAATCATTTTGTAAGTAACATAGATGACTGTTCTTAGATCTCAATCTAGCATAAAAAGAATATTATGTCATTTATGACCAACTTCTCATCTCCATGTCATGGTATGACATTCATAGTACACATGGCTCATCATGGCAAAGACAGATCAGTTAGTCACACTTTTTACTTACTGATTGCCTGTTACTAACTAAATTTACTAATAACTGTTTATTTTACTATAGACCCAGACACTGTATGTACTTGTAGGCTTACCAATGTATAAAAGGTGTACTGGAACCAAGTGATAGATGGTATCATTAATATAAGTGTTTACACAGCACAAACTATTTAGCAGTTAGTTAGAAACAATTAGTTTTGTTGTGAAACTTGTCTAAAATAGGAGATATTAATCATGTCATTTTATGCTCCTGTGACCCAGCTCCATATGCCTCAATTGCTGATTTTTGTCATTTTTGAGGTGTGGGCCTAAATACTAAACTGAACCAATTTAAACAAAATTTAGGCTTATGGCCATAATCGTTTTTATTTTATAATGTCACAATGCCTAAGATGTGTTAGAATATTAGAATAAAGTTACAATATTTTAAAATACTAGGATTAATGTAATAGTAATGTGTAAGGATCTGGTGTAATAGTACTGTAAATTTAGAAATATTAAAAAGCGGGGAATAAAATATGCTAAAATGGAGTTTTACCAATCTAGAAATCTAATAGGCCTCTAGAAAATCAAGACCACGGTCGGGTCTCGAAAAAACATGAAGAAAAAATGGTAAACCTCCATTTTAGCATATTTTATTCCCCGCTTCACGTTCACCTCCAGTTGAGCGTATTTTATTATAAGCACAACCGAACACACAAAAACGTTAGTAAAACACTAGACCTACTTTTTTTTATGAATGTGATTTTTAATTAGAAAAGGTAAAAAAAAACAACATAAAAAAGCATTTGAACTGTTCCAATTAAATATCAAGTGATCGTCAGCGGGAGAAAAAATCCTTACACGGTTGCGGGTTCACAGTGAGTTCACATCTTTAATTATCAGTATACGTCATAGCTCGGGCAATAGCTGTTTGAAATTGTGTTGGCCTCAGTTTGGGGGTCATTGTAAGTTCAAAAATGGTTATTTATAGTATCTTGCTTGGGAAATACTTAACCGCCTTGCAATTGTGAGTAAATAATGAAGTCAAATGTAATAATTTAATGTCTTTGGCTTGCAGCGGAATTGCGACCATTAATTAATTAGATCTAGATCTAGCTAGATATCTAGCTGCTAGGCCAAGTTAAAAAAATCTAGATTACGAAAATAG